GCGGTTCAAAGCCAGCCCGGGCAGGAGAGACCGTGAGACTCCTATCTCCAATAAACCACCAGAAAACCGGAAGTGGCACTGTAGCTCAAGTGGTAGAGCGCCTGCCTTGAGCTGAAGAGCTGAGGGACAGCGCCCAGGCCCAGAGTTCAAGCCCCACGACCGACCAAAAAAAAAAAAAACTACAGAAGTAGAATGCCCTAACTTCTTGGACTTCATTCCTTTCTACTCTGCTCCATGGCTTTAGCCTCCTTGCTGGTCTTTAGACAACACACTACTGGACACCCCTGGCTCAGAGCTTTTACATTTGCGGTCACAGCTCCCCAGTCTGCTTTCCTTAGCTACACATGTGTCTCCCTGCTTTGGTCAAATGTCATCTTGCCAATGAGGCCCTCCCTGAATTCTCTTTCGAAAGATGTAAACACTCCTAGTCATGGCTTTTCTCACCCCCTTTTCCTAACTTCCCTTCCTACATAACATTTGTCATTATCCGATGCAGTTTATGCTATATTATGTGTACGTCTGAGAAGTCCTCTCCTTAGATTATAGTGAAGGAAAGAAAAACCAATCATTCTGCCTGCCTGGTGGTGGAGGCTGGGAGGGGAAGCAGCGCAGAGCTGCTGAGAAAGAAGCTACAGGACAGGGCCAGAGAATCGGAGCCAGGGGTTCCTGCCTTTTGCAGGTGGAATTCCCAGAGGCCCGAATCTTCGAGGAGACCCTGAACATCCTGATCTATGAGACTCCCCGGGGCCCAGACCCAGCCCTCCTGGAGGCCACAGGGGGTGCAGCTGGAGGTGGTGGAGCAACCCGAGGGGAAGACGAAGAGAACCGAGAACACCGAGTTCGGAGGATCCACGTCCGGCGCCATATCACCCATGATGAGCGTCCTCACGGCCAACAGATTGTCTTCAAGGACTAACCTTTGACCTTTCCCCTGCCTTCCTCCTGCTTCTTGGACCCAGTCTTCCTTTCTTTCTTCTCTCTTCAGACTTTTGCCCCGGCTCTGCTGGCCAAGTCGTGGGTTTTCCTTCTGTCATGTCATTGCATGGTACAGTTGACTTTGGCTCTTTCCCTTCATTTGCACTTATAGCTAATAACACGGTACATTCCAGCCCCTCCCCTCAGGCAGGGCCCCTCAGAAAACTGATACTCTCCCCCTCCTTCCCCATTTGTGTTCTCTGGTCTTTCCCTCACAGCTAGTTTAGAACAATTGGAATTCCCTCTCTCTCTCTCTTTTGTAAAGTACATTGTACATAGTCAAGTATTGAGCCAGCCCTTAGTAACACCCACCAAGTTCTGAGTTCTGAGCCACCTCTTACCCTGACCTCCCTCCTACCTCCAACCCTCTTCCCTTCCTCCTTAACTCTGTACTAAGCTGGCCTGGGCCTGTGCCAGCTCAGCTATTTTCTTGTTCTGTTTCATATTATTTATTATTTTAATTTTCTATTAAATTATTGGAATAAAGTTGAGTCAAGGCACTGCTGCTGGCTTCCAGGGAGACCACTGGGAGGACCATGTCAAGGACTTGCCTGACTACTTTTATCACTGAACACCAAGGAGCCCCAAGCCCTTCCCTGGGCTGGCAGCTGGGAAGAAAGCAGTCAGGAATTGGGAGTGGATTCAGAATTTATATTTCAAGGCTCACCAGCCAATTCTTACCCTTGGCAATCCTCCCCCACCCCTCCTTCAGTGGAGAGGAATCCTGGCTGCCACTCATGCTGTCCCTGAATCCCACATGCAGCATCTCTTCATCCCAGGTATCTGAAGGGCACACCTTCCTTCAAGGGTCTGGTGCAAAAACAAAGTCAAGGGCCTGACGCTCAGCCCCAGCCACGTTAGGGTGCCAAAGGTCTACAATGAAGACCACTCGAGGCCCATCTTCAGGGGAGCCTAGGACACATGGGATAAAGATAGAATAGCTGACATCAGTTTCTCTGTCAAAGTACATTCACCACATATGCATAAAAGCAAACAGTAAACAGGCCAGGCCCTTTTCTAACCCTTTGTTGGTTTTTATATAGCCCAGGCTGGCCTTGAACTGAGTCCCCCTTGCTCAGCCTCGCAAGTGCTGGACTTAAAGTTGTGTACCACCATACCCAACATTATCTGAATAGATGTATGGATCTGAGGCATCAAAACAAACAGGTAGTGCCATAGTTATCCCCTTATAAAATGGGACAAATAACTTAGCCAAGGTCTCACAGCTGCTAAATGCAAGTGGTAGGACAGGGCCCCAGGTGATCCAGGCCAGAGTTCTATCCTGGTATCCATTTTATGTGCTACCTGGCATTCACTGAGCCTTACAGTCACTTATTAAAGAAGGCAGTTGTCCCACAGGTCATCTGAGGAGTTGCATATGATTTGCTCAAGAGGAGGTACCTAGAAAACCATGCTACTGGGACAAGGAGTCAGCCAGCTTGATCTTGTACCCTCTAAACTTGGACCCTCTTTGGTCCCTCACCCCTACCCCCAGAAGAATGGGAGCTCCTTACCATTGTGAGCCACTGTGTGCAGGAAGGAATCATCCACCAGGAGGCAATGTCCTTCGGCCCAGCACTGGGGCTCGCCCCCGACAACCAGCTCACAGCCAGGAGGAATCTTCAGGCCTGTGTGAAGAGATGTGGCATCCAATACTCCTGCCTCTAAGGTGTCTACTTTCTTTAGACAAGGTCTTGTGGTGGTCCTCCCTTGCTGTCTGAAAGGTGATGTGTGTAATCTATATATAGTACTGGATGGAAAGAGCTAGGATAATGGGGCAACCAGTGGCTCACACCTGTAATCCTAACTACTCAGGAAGCTGAAATCTGAGGATCACAGAAGCCAGCCTGGGCAGGAAAATCTGTGAACTTCATCACCAATTAACTACCAAAAATCCAGAAGCTGGGGCTTAGGTGGTATAGGACTAGGCTTGAGTAAAAAAACTAAGGGACAGTGCCCAGGCTGTAAGTTCAAGCCCCAACACCCAACACACACACAAGCACACACAATTCTAGGAGATAGGGCAAGTATGGGAAGCATCATCTATAGTTTTCGAAAAAACAAAAGAGAAAATACCATCTCTTTCTTAGCCTCCTGACAATTCAGCTCCAGAGCCTACTGGGCTCTCTGTGTAGGTTGACTAGCAACTCCAATAAACCATCCAAAAACTGGAAATGGCGCTGTGGCTCAAGTAGTAGAGCGCTAGCCTTGAGCTGAAGAGCTGAGGGACAGCGCCCAGGCCCAGAGTTCAAGCCCCATGACTGACAAAAAAAAAAAAGTGGGAGGGGAGCTACTGGAACTTGAACATCTGCTGGCATTACCATCAGCAAAAGAAATGTAGGCTTTGGGCATGGAGCATCTAGAGAACTAGAATATTTCAGGTGTGCCTTTTTTTTGGGGGGGGGGGACAGGGTTTTGCATTATAGCCCAACCTGGCCTTGATCTCACAATCCCTCAATCTCAATCTCCTGAATGCTAGTGCAGACATTCAGCTCAAGGCTTAAGTTTCAATTTGATTTGATAAGTACTTTCTTCTTAGTGCAATGCAGATGACCACATACAGTTCTGTAAAGATTCCTTTTAATTAAGTATAACCAGCTAGTCACTGGATGGCTTGCACTTGTAATCCTAGCTACCCAGGAGATTGAGATCTGAGGATCAAGATTCAAAGTTAGCCCTGACAGAAAGGTGGATGAGACTCTTATTTTTTTGGACGGTCGTGGGGCTTGAACTCTGGGCTTGGGCGTTGTCCCTCAGCTTTTCAGCTCAAGGCGGGCGCTCTACCACTTGAGCTACAGCGCCACTTCCAGTTTTCTGGTGGTTTATTGGAGATAGGAGTCTCACGGTCTCTCCTGCCCTGGCTGGCTTTGAACCGCGATCCTCAGATCTCAGCCTCCTGAGTAGCTAGGATTACAGGCGTGAGCCACCAGCGCCCGGCTGGATGAGACTCTTATCTCCTATTAATCAGCAAAAAAAGCTGGAAGTAGAGGTGTGGCTCAAGTAGTAGAGCACCAGCTTGGAGTGAAAAAGTCAAGTGAGTACATGAGGCCCTGAACTCAAGCCCCAGTAGCTGGCACAAAAATAGAATAAGTAAAGCCAGGCACTGGTGGCTCATGCCTGTAATCCTAGCTACTCAGGAGGCTGACATCTGAGGATCACAGTTCAAAGTCAGCTCAGGCAGGAAAGTCTCATCTCCAATTAAAGAAGAGAAAAAGCCAAAGGTGGCACTGTGGCTCAAGTGGTCAAGTGGTGGTAGGGTGCTGTGCAAAAACCTCAGGACCATCAGGAATAAAAGTAAAACCAAAGGTGGGGGAGATTGGCTGTGAGGAGAAAATGCTGTGGGCAACAGGGAATCATGGGAGATTTCTGAGAAGAGAGACAGGTGGTCTGGGCAGGATCTACTTACCCAGATGGCATCTGACCCGAGCATTTGTAGGCCCACAGCAGCCCTCCAGCCGGGCCCCAGGTAGAAGGACAGAAAAGCCAGCATTGCCGAAGGTGTTGGCGCTCATGAAGCTCCGAAGCCCCCTCAGTGCCCGATAGGCTCCGGGGCACCGGCGGCAGTTGCTAGGTTGGCACCGGCCTGCTTGGTACAGCAGGAGCTGGTAGCACCCAGGGGCCCGGGGTGGGGACCAGCCCCGAGGCAGAGGAGTAGTCCCTGAGAAGTCCCAGCTTATAGCCCCAAAATCCCGCAAAATGGCAGGGAAGTTGCTCTCTAGAAGCTCCACATCATGCCGCTGGGCATCTCGAGGCACAAAGGGGGCTGAAGGCAGGTCTGGTAGAAAAAGCAAGCCTGGACGCTGAATGCCCAAGACCCCTGACCCTCCTCCAAGGCTTGGGCTACCCTGAGCTGCACGCCTCACCCTACCCATCCCAGCCCAGGAATAGCGCCTAGCATAGGCCCGAAGTCGACGGCTCACTAGGCCTTCTGTCCCAGGACCTTCTGCAGGGTCTCCAGAGCTCCTCAGGCCAGGCCTGCCAGCTTCAGGGCATCCCCCAGACCCACCATTAACCCCCCTAGCCTGGCTCCCAGCCCCTAGGGTCTGCATGTCTTCAGAGCCCAGGCGATAGCAGTACCAAAGGAACAGGGATGTGAGGGCTCCAAGGAGCAAAGTGAGGGCTGAAGAGGCCAGGGGTAGCGGCCAGGAGAGCATGATGGGCAAAGAGGCCCTGGCCAAGAGTCCTGGGGCATCTTCCAGTCCCCAGGTTCCCTGTCCCCCTAGCTCTCCACCTGTCCCCTGTATGGCTGCTTCCTGGTCTCCCCCTGGGCCATTTCCCTTCCACATCCCCAGCTTCTCTCCAAGATCTCTCTCCTCCTTCGGTCAGGTATCTCCAACCGTTCCTTTCCCTTTCTTTCCTCTAGCTCACTCTCTTCTCTCCTGCCTCTTCCTCTTCTTCCTCCCCTCTCTAGATCTCTCTCCTCTCTTCCCTCTATGGCTTCCCTTTCTCCTTTCTCCTTCCCGCAGTCTCCTCTCTTTCCCTCTGCCTCTCCTCTATCTCCACCGCTCTCCCACTCTCCTCTTCTCTCCTCCCTCCACTCCCTCCACCCCTCCTTTGGCTCGCTCTCCCCCTTCTTTCTTATAGCTCTCCCCTTAACCGTTCCTACCCCCACCTGGACCCGCAGCCCCAAGACCCCGCAGCTTGTCTTCCTCTGTGGCGGCGTCTCTGTCTTTCCTCCTTCCTCCCCCTTTCTTGCCCTTGCTTCTCACTTGACCTGACCCGAGGTCCTGCCTCGCTCTCGCTCCCTGTCTCCCACACGCTCCTTCCCTGGCTCCCACTCACCCTGACGTCACTCCTTCCCGCAGCCCTCTCTTCTTAGCTACCTCCAACCCCTCCCGGTGGCAGCCGCAACTCAGCCCTGGGGGAGGGGGGAACTCCTCTCCAGATTTGCCTCACTACCCGCTCCCTCCCCCCACCCCAAGCCTGACCGGGCGCCACGTGGGGTACAGGGGGCACGGTGCCAAGCTCCAAGCACCCTGCAATGCGAAAAGAAGGGGCGTGGCCTCGCCGCGGGCGTGGTGGGGTGGGCGGGGTTCACTCAAGGGGCGGGGCGAGGGCTCAGACTGAGGGCCCAGGCCGACGCTCTGGGACTGCGGGAGGGGGATGCCGCGGCGGGTCGGTCGCGCCGCGGGTCCCTGGAGAAATCGGTCTGTGATCTCCCCCCACCCCCCCACATCCCCCTCTTTGGTCTCCACAACAGCCTGCCCCCGGCGAGTGGTCGATCGCTAGTGAAAGCGGCTCCAGCCAATGGCTGGACGCGCAGGCGGGGCGGAGAGGAGCTGTCCGCGCGCCCTGGTGCTGAAAAGGGCGCTCCCCACGCGCAGTGAGGGCGACCCAACCACAGCCCGGGCCGAGGCTGCCCAGCGGCTGGCTGGGGTCATATTGTATGTGAAGAGGGAGGTCGGTCTCTCCTCCCCAGACCCTAGCCTGTCACCCTCTTAGACTTTTCACAAACCTGCAAAGTCGCCATTCTCCTGGGTGGGGGGCGGGGGGGGGAAATGGGACAGTCAGTTCCACCTGAGCTTCGGGGAAAAAGGCAAAGGGAAGTCCCGCGGGGGGTCCGGATACGGACAGAGGACATATTGGGGACCAAGCAGGGCTCGAGCCAAAGCTGAGCCGCCCCTTGGAGCCCGGGGAAGAGGAGATTCAGATTCCAGATGTGCTGGAATGGCGTGGGGGAGGGGAGCCTAATGACGGCTGGGACCAGAATTTCCTTTGGCTCCCCTAGGGGCCGCGGGAGTGAGGATTACGGTCCTGGCTCCCGATCCCTCCTTCCTCCATCTGCACTTCCTCCTCCTCCCTCCTCCGCAAATACATCCCAGGCCCCTCCTTTCGCCCGTCCCCAGGATCTGACGTGGGCTCGACACCTTTCTCAGCTTCTCCCTCCCGCAGCCCCAGTGCCCGAGCTTAGGCTCCCCGGGTTCCGCAACCCCTTCCCCTCCGCGACGAGCCGGGCTAGAGCTCAGCAGGGACCTTCCCGATCCTGAGACCCCACCCTAGGCCCCCCGGAAGCGATCTTCCCTCTCCCAGCTCCCCTGGCTTAGTAGCCAGCCAGCCTGATGGATCCAGGCACTCGAACCCGAGGGTAACCTTCGGCCCTCTCGGCCCCACCCCCTGCAGCCGGAGCCGCGCCCCCCTCTACCACAGATCCCGGAGCGGAAGACCGAGATTGAGCAAAGGGGGTGGACTCCGGGCAATCCCTAGCCCAATTCTGCGCCTCCATCCCGAGGGGGCAGAAACATTGCCTTCCTCTGCTGACCTCTAGCAGGAAAACAAAATTAAAGGGAAAGATAAAAGGACACGGAGGAGGAAAAAGTGACAGCTATATTATTCAGGAGAGGCACAGAGGAGAGAAATTGGGGTGAGTCGCCATGGGGACTCCCAAGACCCAGCACCCACCGCCTTCCCAGCTGCTGTTCCTAATTCTGCTGAGCTGTCCCTGGATTCAGGGTAAGGACATTGGAGGGGGGGGTGGGCAGGCCCCTACGGGTCTTTCTCTGAGCATCCTGGGTCTTCTGAGCTTATGGGGGAGGGGAGGGTACAGTTGACTGGTAAGGGGGCAAAGCAGAGCTTTGGGGCTTGTGCCTAAAACCCCTCAACTCCCAATTTGAGAAGCTACAGTAATGAAAGAGGATAACTTTTAGCTGCGTGTTAGGGATGAAATCTGGGAAGGAGGGCTGGGGGAGTTGGGGGGAGGGTGTCTGCGGAGGCGGCAGAAGCACGCAGGGTACCTGGGTGGGAGATGGAGGTGCCGGGAGAGACGCCAGGCACTACACACACAAATGTTCTTGGACATATGGACAAAGACAGATGAACAGAGGCGGGGCTAGAGACCAGATATTCAGTCCCCCACTCCACTCTGACCCCTAGCCAGACTCTAGCGAAGGGAGCAGACTGCAGAGAATGAGAGAGAGAGAGAGAGAGAGAGAGAGAGCGCACTACACTGCAGAGATAGAAACCCAGAGAGAAAGATGGGCACTGCGGAAGCAAGGACTACTGGAAGACATTGCTGGACCCTCTGCAGTGCCCCGGGGTTGGGGAGATGAAAAGGAAGTCAGTGGCAGATCTCCTGCTCCACCCTGCTGGTGCTGTCCAAGGTTTGTAAGAATTAAAGTGCTTGCTGGAAGCCCACAGAGCCCAGGCTTGGGTGTGTGAGAGGATGAGGGGCCTCTAGAGCCTCCCCTCCGATCTTGGCTCTCAGCCCAGCCTGGGACCCTCAGGCCCAGCTGAGAAGGGGAGAAACACTCTGGAAAAGCTGTCTATAGAGAAGGAATGGATGTCAGGGGAGCGGAGAGGCTCACCGGAGTTCACCCTCTAGGTCTACCCCTGAAGGATGAGGAGGCACTGCCAGAACCTGGAAGTGAGACTCCCACAGAGGCCTCTGAGGCCCTGGCTGAGCTGCTTCACGGGGCCCTGCTGAGGAAAGGCCCAGAGATGGCCTACTTGCCAGGTGAGGCTCCCAAAGTGTCAGAAGTGGCTTAGAGGGAGAGGGAGAGACACTGGCTCAGAGAAATGGGAAGACAGGCTGGAGGAGAGGAAAGAGACTGCAAAGAGGGTAAGACAACCCCCTACCAGGAAGGCCAGTGAAATTCAGAGAGTGGCAAATGGAGACAGACTCAAATCTGAGAACAAACCATGAGAGAAATAGAGTCAGAATAGATTAAAAGACATAGAAAAGGCACCCAGAAAGATGGATGGGAATGCAGAGAACTAGAGACAAAAATGGGGAAGACAGACCGAATGGAAATCAGAGAACATTAAGAGAAATGGATTCAGAGAAAGCAAGACAGAAGAGAGAAAAAGGGATCGTGGCAGAGGGAGGGGGGAACTAGATCTGTGTAAGGGATAGGAAGAAGTGGAAGGGGACTGTGTGTGGAGGGGATGATCTGGATGCAAAAGCTTGGAAGGAAGTGGGGAAAGGAGAGGTGGGGACTTGCACCTTGTGGGGAGGTCTCTGGGGATTCAGTGGGGAAACCCTCTATTTCTCTCTGCCTTGCTTCCCACCCCTATTGACCAATTTGCTGCTCCGGTGCCCTGACTTCCCTTGTACTGTCCCAGGATCTGATCCAGACCCCACACTAGCCACTCCTCCAGCCGGCCAGACTCTTACAGCACCCTCCTTGCCACGAGCCACTGAGCCAGCCACAGGGCCTCTGACAACAGCTGTAACTCCTAAGGGGGTCAGGGGAGCAGGTCCCACTGCCCCTGAGCTGCTGACTCCACCCCCGGGAACTACAGCTCCACCCCTGCCTGGCCCTGCTTCCCCAGTCCCACCCCTGGCTCCTGAAGGTGGAGAAGAGGAGACCACTACCACCATCATCACCACGACAACCGTCACCACCACAGTCACCAGTCCAGGTGAGGTGATGGAAAGAAGAGGGTGCTGGGGGGAAGAGGCTGTCTAGAACATCTAGAAGGAGCCCTAACACCTGCGGGATGCTGGTGACTCAGGCCTGTAATCCCAGCTACTCAGGAGGCTGAGCTCTGAGGATCATGATTAGAAGCCAGCCCAGGCAGGAAAATCCATGAGACTCTTATCTCCAATTAACCACCAAAAAGCCAGAAGTGGAACTGTGGCTCAACATAGTAGAGTGCTAGTCTTGAGCAAAAAAGCTCAGGGACAGCACCCTGCCCTCAGTTCAAGCCCTGGGACAGACAAAAAAAAAAAATTAGTAACACAATAGTAGTAATACTTAAGCTGGGTGCCAGTGGCTCACGCTTGTAAATCCTAGCGGGAGTCTGAGATCTGAGGATCATGGTTCAAAACCAGCCTCGGCTGGTCATGAGGTCTGAACTCTGGGCCTGGGCGCTGTCCCTCAGCTCTTCAGCTCAAAGCTAGTGCTCTACTATGAGCCACAGCGCCACTTCCAGCTTTTTCTGCTTACGTGGTGCTGAGGAATCGAACCCAGGGCCTCATGCATGGGAGGCAAGCACTCTACCACTGAGCCACCTTCCCAGCATCCATAAGACTCTTATCTCCAATAAACCACTAAAAAACCAGAAGTGGCACTGTGGCTCAAGTGGTAGAGCACTCACCTTGAGCTGAAGAGCACAGGGACAGGACCCAGGCCCAGAGTTCTAGCCTCACGACTGATAAAAAAAAAAAAAAAAAAGATTGGTGGCAATGGGAGGGGTGTTACTGGGAGAATTCAGTTAAAGACCTCTGAAGTTGCTTGGATGAGGACAAGCACACAATCCCAGCCACTTATATCTCTTTAGTTCTGTGTAATAACAACATCTCCGAGGGTGAAGGGTACGTGGAATCTCCAGATTTGGGAAGCACCGGCAGCCGCACCTTGGGGCTCTTGGACTGTACTTACAGCATCCATGTCTATCCTGGCTATGGCATTGAAATCCAGGTAACTGAATCTAAAACATGTGACAAATTTCCAAGCCCTTTCCTTTGAGGACCAGAGGACCTGTTTTGTAACTCCTATGGGCCTGTTTTCCAATTCTGAGGTTCTCAAGAACTCCCTTAGAGTTCTACCTCATGGGGTGATATCCTTGTGGTTTGGGGGCTGCTATAACAGAAAAACAAAAACAAAAACAAAAAAAGAATGGCAGATAAGGCTGGGTTAGGAGCTGTCATACTACTCATGGGCCTTGGTCTACATCTGCTTTCTCTAGGTGCAGACACTGAACCTGTCTCAGGAGGAGGAACTCCTGGTGCTGGCTGGTGGAGGGTCCCCAGGCTTGGCCCCCCGTCTCCTGGCCAACTCTTCCATGCTCGGAGAAGGACAGGTCCTTCGAAGCCCAACCAACCGGCTGCTTCTGCACTTCCAGAGCCCACGGGTTCCTAGGGGAGGTGGCTTCAAGATCCACTATCAGGGTGAGGAGTCTGAAGTGTTGGTGGAAGGGCAGGGGCCACATTGGGCACAGGGCACATTTTTAAGGGTCTTCTAAACATAGGGTACTGAGGGGGACTTCCTCTGGACTGGGAGCCTGGAGACAAGATCCTCTGAAGAGGCTGTACGCACTATGTCTACATACCAACCAATGTCCACTGAGTGCTACTTCATAGCAGGGCCTAAATTAGCTTTTGGGATGAGGATGCATGTGGGACTGGGAAGGTGGCTCAGTGGTAGAGTGCTTACCTTGCATGCATGAGGCCCTGGGTTCAATTCCTCATTACCATATAACAGATAAAGCCAGAAGTGGCGCTGTGGCTCAAGTGGTAGAGCACTAGCCTTGAGCTGAAGAGCTGAGGGACAGCGCCCAGGTCCAGGATTCAGGCCCCACGACTGGCAAAAAGAAAAAAAGAATGCATGTGCCTGGTATAAATCCTACTTGAAGGATCTCAGAATCTAGGTTGTACAAACTGTTAGGTTTAATTAGGTAACCGATGAAGAGAAGACTGCGTGGTATTCAGGCAGGGAAGAGCAGTGTATTTCTGAACTGCTGCCCTGCTGTGCATACATGGTACGTGGCTGAAGGGGTAGGAGGTCACTTAGTCTCGGCTTCTCTAGGGAAGGGTCAGGGAGAAGGTGTGACCAGGTGGGGAGAAGGTATGGCCACATCAGATGCAGATGTGACTTCAGAGCCTGGGACCCTCCCATGGTCTGATGGGAGGTGTGATGGGGCGGGGGGGGGAAGGGGGGGCGTCCAGGATGTGACCTCAGAGAGGGGGCAGATAACTACCTCCAGGTGTGCCAGTTACCTGGGTAACACAGGTACTGGGCGGAGACTTAAGGACAGGGAGGTGCCTGCTCGGCCTTCCCTTGTGGACCTTACACCGACAAGTAATTGAGATGGTTATAATTCAGTGAGATAAGGCCAATGATGGAAGGAACTTAGGCAGGGGTAACAATGATCAAAAGGGACCTAAATTTCTTCTGAGGAATATGGAGACACCTTCTTGGGAGGTGATGAGTAAACTGAGACCTAAAGGACGAGTTAGGCTGGGGAAAACGTAGGAGGAAGCAAAAGGGGAAGGCAGCTGTCTAGCTGGATGGAAAAAAACATATACCAAGACCCAGAGAGGAAAGAAAATGTGACCTTAGAGTAGATTAAGTCATTCAACATGCAACTATCCTAATCTGATTTGCTAAACCTTTTTTTTTTTTTGTCGGTCATAGGTCTTGAACTCTGGGCCTGAGCGCTGTCCCTGCGCTCTTCAGCTCAAGGCTAGTGCTCTACCACTTGAGCTACAGCTCCACTTCTAGTTTCCTAGTGGTTTATTGGCGATAAGAGTCTCATGACTTTCCTGCCTGGGCTGGCTTTGAACCGTGATACTCAGATCTCAGCTTCCTGAGTAGCTAGGATTTTAGGTCTGAGCCACCGGCACCCGTCTTGCTAAACCTTTCTATACCTCAGGGTCCCATTTTGAAACATGATCCCATTTGAAACCGAAGGTCTTACCAGGCACCAGTGGCTCCTGCCTATAATCCTAGCTACTCAAGAGCCTGAGGTCTGAGGGTTGAGGTTGGAAGGCAGTCAGGACAGACACATTTGTGAGACTCGTATCTCTAATTATCCATCGAAAGGCCAGAAGTGAAACTGGCTCAAGTGGCAAAGTGCCAGCCTTGAAGGAAAACAACTAAAGGACAGTGCCCAGGTTCTCAACTCCAGCCCCAGTTCTGGCACAAAAAAGAAGGATTATAATACATACTACATGGCATTATCAGGAAGAGCAAATGAGTTGATGGTTCAAAACTGTCTATTACTTATTGAGAGCTCAAAAGTGTCAGTCATTACTATTACAGTCAAAATACAGATGGTGGAGGGGGGGGTGGGGAGGTAAGCTCAGAGGCCAAGCCTCTGAGGTCCGGGGGGAAACGACAGTGGGATTCAGATTGTAAAATCTCCTATCTCTTCCAGCAAAGAGTTCAAGCTACTCTAATATGCAGGCAAAATGGAGATATTTGAAATGCTTTGAGCAGGGAGATGACAATCCCAGATTTTTGATTTTGAAAGATCCTTCCGACTTTGGAGGATCAAATGAGAGGGGAATGTATCATTTATGATTGCATTCAGAAGCAGCCACCCACAGTGCTAACCTGTATGTTCTGGAACCTTCCCATGGTGCATGTATATGTTACAGCACATGTGTGCACTAGGCAAAGAGCTCAGCAATGTCCCCAAGGCAGACACTGCTCTCTTCTCCAAGGTCCCTCCCTAGTTGTTTTGGAAACAGACAGGAAGTGTAGGTTGGGCCAGTGTTTCTCACATCACTTCCTGGTTTTGCTTGGCTTCATGCACCCTGCCCCTTTTGTGAGCTTGGCTGACCCCTGACACCATGAGCATCTTATCCAGGACAAAGCCTGCATCCTTCCGCCTCTCCTTTCCAGCCTCTCCTGAGGCCTCAGCTGAAGCCCTGCCCCAGGGGTATATTGTGCAAGGTAGAAGCACCTATGTGTTAGAGAGACTGAGGGCACGCACTTGGTGGCACAGACCTGGTTATTGGGGTCCCATATGCCTTGCAGGCCTGGAGGTGAAGGGCTGGACTTAAGATATTACCAAAAAAAAAAAATGGCTTTCTGCTGGGTGCCAGTGACTCACACCTGTAATCCTACTCGGGAGGCTGAGAACTGAGGATCCCGATTCAAAGCCAGCCTGGGCAGTAAAGTCCATGAGACGCTTATCTCCAATTAAGCAGCAAAAAGCTGAAATAGAGGTGTTGCTCAAGTGGTAAAGGGTGAAACAGTGAAGCAGGAGTGAGTGATGCTGAGTTGAAGCCTTAGTACACACACACACACACACACACACACACAAATAGGCTTTCTATGGGCTCCTTTAAGCAATCACTTCTCCAGGGCATTAAAAATAGGACTCTTTAGACTAAGTAGAACATTTGGGAAGCAGGGCTCTTGCATAAGTTGGCCTTTATTACCTGCCTGTATTTTCCCTGCTTTACGGTTCCTGTAGATACTGTGCAGGCACCGTTGGGACCAAGACCTTGTTTAAATCCTTTACAACCTACTCTAACTGCTGTCTCTAGTCCAGAATGGCCTCATTAGTTCCTCTGAGTGACCTAAAGCTCCATCACTCCTAAGCTAACTCCAGCAAACGTGGCTCTGTACAAAGCCAAGTGGCTTTGTGGAAATGGCACTGTGGCTCAAGTGGTGGAGTGTTAGCCTTGAGCTGAAAGAGCTGAGGGACAGCGCCCAGGGCTATAGTTCAAGCCCCACAACCAACAAAGCCTTTTTTGGGGGGGGTTCGGTCATGGGGCTTGAACTCTGGGCCTGGGCACTACCGTTCAGCTCTTCAGCTCAAGGCGAGTGCTCTACCGCTTGAGCACAGGGCTACTTCTGGTTTTCTGGTGGTTAATTGGAGATGCGTCTCATGGACTTTCTTGCCCAGGTTGGCTTTGAACCACGATCCTTGATCTCAGCCTTCTGAGCAGCTAGGATTACAGGCGTTAAGCCACCAGAGCCCATCCTATACAAAGCCTTTTTACCAGCCACTGGTTCATTGGCTTCTCGTAGCAATTCTGGGACTGGCCATTGCCAGCTCTGTCTCTCAGAGGAAGGAAAAGACTCAGCCACCTGCAAAGTTACTGTCAAGTCAGAAATCAACCTCCCAAGTCTCTGATACCCAGTCATGGGTAACTGAAGCCGAGGGGTAGGTGGTTAACATCTTCTGAACAGTTTCTATGTGCTGGATGATTTGCACATTTTTATTTAATGTTCAATCCTTGCTGATAGGACTTTTTCTTTTGCCAGTGATGACTAAGAGACTCCCTTGGTGTGAAGTCACTTGCTCAATTATTGGCTCTGCCTCATAGTGATGACAATTATGTCACTGAGTTCAGGTTAGTCAATTGATTTGTCTGAGGTCACATAGCCAACAAGTAGAAGGGTTTAGAATAACTTCCTCAGACACATCATTTGTAAAATAAAGACCAAAGTGGGTAAGTCACAGACTAGAGGAAATTACCTCTTTATGACAGTAAATTATAAGGAGCTCAAGATTTTATTCGTGTGTGTGTGTGTGTGTGTGTGTGTGTGTGTGTGTGTGTGTACACCAGTACTGGGGCTTGAATTCAAGGCCTTGCATTCTTGCTTGGCTTTTTTATTCGAGACTGGCACTCTGCCACTTGATTCACACCTCCACTTCTAGCTTTTTTCTGGTTAGTTAGAATTAAGAGTCTCATGGATTTGTCTGCTTGTTGGTTTGGAACATTAATCCTGAGTAGCCAGGATTAAAGTCTTAACCATAGGTGGGAGCTTGCATTTTTTTGTTGTCATTGTTGCTGTTAAGACTTACATCATACTTCTAACCCTTTTGCTCTGGTTATTTTTGAGATAGAGTCTGGCTTTTTGACCAGACAAGTTTGGACAGGCATCTTCCTATTTATTCTTCCTGATAGAGTGGGCTGACAGGCATGTACCATCAAGCCCAGAATTTTCTGTTGAGATTATGGTTGAGAGGGTCTCTCAAACTTTGCCTGCACTGGCTTCTAATTGAACTCTTTTTTTTTTTTTTTTGAGAACACACTGTACAGAGGGGTTACAATTACATAGGCAGGATAATGCGTACATTTCTTATCAAGCATTGCGGCCTCCTCCTTTGTTTACCCTTCACATCCCTTCCCAACCTCCCCCCCACCCCTCCTAATTGAACTCTTTTTATTTTCCAGTCGTGGGGCTTGAACTCAGGTCCTGAGCACGGTCCTGAGCTTTTGTGCTTGAGGCAAGTGCTTGACCACTTTGAGCCATAGCTCCACTTCTAGTCTTCTAGTGGTTCATTGTAGGCAAGAGTCACAGGATTTCCTGCTTGGACTGGCTTTGAACTGTGATCCTCAAATCTCAGCCTCCCCAGTAGCTAGGATTACAGGCATGAGCCACTTGTGCCTGGCAGGAAATTTTATTCTTTAGTGTACACTCCAGTTTAGCACCTTTTGGTTCTCTTACCTCAGGGATGGAAAGAAATAGACAATAATAGGGACTGGTATGAGAATATGACATGGGACAAGTCCTTCTCCCTGCTCTGTCCAATCCAGCCTATCTCTTGAGCTGTGGCTTTCCTCCCCGGCCAACCCATGGGGATGTGAGCGTGACAGATCTGCACCCGGGTGGCACTGCCACATTCCACTGTGACTCAGGCTACCAGCTACAAGGAGAGGAGACTCTCATCTGCCTCAATGGTACCCGGCCAGCGTGGAACAGTGAACCTCCTAGCTGTGTGGGTAAGTTTCCTGACATTCCTCGGGAATCCCTTGTCTCAGAGGTTTTCATTCTGAAAGAGCTGTGTGTGTGTGTATGTGTGTGTGTGTATGTGTGTGTGTGTGTGTGTGTGTGTGTGGCGCTCGCATGTGCTGGTACTGGGGCTTGAACTTGGCCTTGCCACTGTCCCTTAGCTTTTTTGCTCAAGGTTAACATTTTGCCCCTTGAGCCATAGCTCCACCTGTGGCATTTTGGTGGTTAACTGGAGATAAGAGTCTCACAGACTTTCCTGTCTGGACTGGCTTCAAACTGTGATCTTCTGATCTCAGCCTCCTGAGTAGCTATGATTACAGGGCCACCAGCAGCGAGGTTCCCATTGGAGCTTTTCACCCTGAGGGTCTCCAGCCTTGGACAGTCTTCATCTTCCAGTGGTTTCCATCTGGGGATGTCTTACTTGCTGATTTCCATGTGAGAGTCACCATTCCTAATGTCTGTGTCTGATGGTTCGCCATCTTGAGTCTTCATCCGTGGCTACTCCATCCTGTGACATCTTCATTATGGAAACGTACATCTGAAGATTTCCCATCTGAGAGGTTCAGTTATGGGACACCTCAGAAGTTCCCTTCTAAGCCGGGCGCTGGTGGCTCACGCCTGTAATCCTAGCTGCTCAGGAGGCTGAGATCTGAGGATCACGGTTCAAAGCCAGCCCGGGCAGGAAAGACTGTGAGACTCCTAGCTCCAATAAACCACCAGAAAACCGGAAGTGGCGCTGTAGCTCAAGTGGTAGAGCGCTCGCCTTGAGCTTGAAGAGCTGAGGGACAGCGCCCAGGCAGAGTTCAAGCCCCACGACCGACAAAAAAAAAAAAAAAGAAGTTCCCTTCTAAGCGAGTCTACTCAGGGGAATATTTATTTTCGCAGATTCATCTATTCTGCAGAAGGGCCTGAGAGGAACTGAAGCTCAAGGACAATGACAACTCTCCTTGGGCTGACTCTAATCCCTTCTTCTTCTGCCCACAGCCTCCTGTGGTGGCATCATCCACAATGCTACGCTGGGCCGCATTGTGTCTCCTGAGCCTGGGGGAGCTGCAGGGCCCAACCTCACCTGCCGCTGGGTCATTGAAGCTGATGAAGGACGCCGGCTACACCTGCACTTCGAGAGGGTCTCGCTGGATGAGGACAATGACCGGTGAGTGTCTGAGCCTTAGGTCATTGGGAAAACAGAGAGGCTGCGGTGGGATGGTGAGATCGTTTTGCGATGAACCCTTCTTTACTCCTGACCCTTTCTTAGGAAATGTAGCTGTGCAACCTTGAAGGGATCACTTAGCCTCTCTGTCTCAGCTCTCTTATCTATACAATGGAGACAATGGTACCTCTCTAGATGCATAATTAATAGCCACATTTATATATATATATATATATATATATATATATATATATATATATATATATATATATATATATATATGGTTTGAAGCCAACCCAGGCAGGAAAGTTTATCTCCAATTAACTACCAAAAAGTTGGAAGTGGTGCTGTGGCTCAAGTGGTAGAGTGCTAGCCTTGAGGACAAAAGCTCAGGAGCAGTGCCAGGGCCCTGAGTTCAAGCCCTAGGACACACACATACACACACACACACACATAAAATACTGGGGCTGGGAAGGTGGCTCAGTGGTAGAGCGCTTGTCTTGCATGCATGAGGCCCTGGTTCATTCCTCAGCACCACATAAGCAGAAAAAACTGAAGTGGCACTGTGGCTCGAGTGGTAGAGCACTAGTCTTGAGCTGAAGAGCTGAGAGACAGTGCCCAGGCCCAGAGTTCAGGCCCCACGACCAACAAAGGAAAAAAAAAAGATATATAAAGTACTTAGCATGGAGCTTACTTAGCATGATAAGCCATGTAAAAACATTTGCTATTGTCACATCCTCATCCTTTGTGTGTGTGTGTGACAGTCTAGGCTGGTACTCTAACCATTTGATCCACAGCTCCACTTGTGGCTTTTCGGTGGTTAATTGTAGATAAGAGTCTCACAAACTTCCCTGCCTGGGCTGGCTTTGAACTGTGATTCTCAGATCTCAGCCTCCTGAGTAGCTAGGATTACAGGCATGAGCCACCAGCACCTGCTTTATCCTTATCCTTCTTTATATAACAACCTAGTAGCCCAGCTCTGTCACCACTTGCTGTGTGGATGTGAGCAAGTGACTTAATCTTCTCCTCGTGTGGAGAATGATGGGTAATGACAATGTCAAGAGTCCTTGTGAAAAATCAAATGAGGTAAAAGAGTTAAGGGCTTAGAAACACACACGGCATATGAGTAATGCTTGATAATAAAGCCATAAAGATAAGCTACTTGAACAGGTAACAGGCAACTGGCCTACGGAGTAATTACACTCCTGGCCATTCTACTGTCTCTCCCAGGCTGATGGTGCGCTCAGGAGGCAGCCCTCTGTCCCCTGTGATCTATGACTCTGATATGGATGATGTCCCAGAACGTGGTCTCATCAGTGACGCCCAGTCCCTCTATGTGGAGCTGCTGTCAGAGACACCTGCCAATCCCCTGCTGCTCAGCCTCCGATTTGAAGGTAACAGTTCTACTTCCCCGCCCCCTCCCCCCTCCCCCCTTCCTGACACCAGGCCTTGTCAGAAGCACACACTTCCTCCCTGTTCATCTCCGGGGTGGATCCCTGCAATCTAACTTTCCTCTCCACCTCCTAACTAGAAGGATCCCTTCATAGAAGTATTCACCAAGGTAGGCTTATGTGTGTGTGTGTGTGTGCACGTGTGCGCATGCTCATGTGTACATGCACATGCATGTACACTAGAACAAGGAGCTTGAATTTAGGGCCTCAAGCTCTCGAGTTCTCATTTGGCTTTTGTTTGTTCAACTGCTCTACCATTTGAGCCAAACGCCCATTTCCAGCTTTTTGCTGGTTCATTGGAGATAAGGATCGTAGGACTATCCTGCTTGGGTTGGCTTTGATTCCTCAGCCTCCTGGAGTAGATGGGATTACTAGTAGTACCTGGTTGAGGTAGGCGTTTTGGATCAAGCTTCGTGTTTGGCTGGATTTAGGTACAGAGTCTGAACAGGGGACCAGGCATCTAGCTCTTTCTGTTGTTGTTGTTTTCCTGTGTTTTAACTTCATTCAGGTAGGCTTTCCCTATGTGATGGACCTGGTTACAGACTCACAGACCACTGAGTTACTAACTCCATCAGAGAAAGGAAAGCTGGTATCTTTCCTGAGAGCATTGGCAACAGTGCCACAAAAGGCTGTCATTGACCTGCTTAATTAAGGTGCTTGAGCCAATCACAGAGGCTAGAGGCTGGTGTGTGATGATTGGCAGATTTGTATCATATGGCCATCCCTGGTGGGCCCTACTGAACTGCACAGATTGGAGGGGAGTAGGCATATTTCCCAGAATGAAAACAGGGGTACAGTTACCAGGAGGACCAAAGGGTGCTAGATGAGTGGAAAGAAAGTAATCATGTGAGAAGACTCATTTAAACTTGGCTTTAAAGGATGGAGGGTAATTGAGAAACTTAAACTAGGAAGACTAAGCTAAGTGCTAATGACTCACACTGTAATCCTAGCTACTCAGGAAGCTGAGATCTGAGGATCATGGTTAGAAGCCAAACGGAGCACACCAAGCTATGAGATTCTTCTCTTCAACAACAACAAAACAGGAAGTGAAGGTGTGTCTCAAGCAATAGAGCACTAACCTTGAGCAAAACATGCCCGGCAAGAGCTCGAGGTCCTGAGTTCAAGCCCAGTACCAACACCCAAAACAACAACATGCCTGTAATCTTAGCTACTCAGGAGGCTGAGATCTGAGGATCATGGTTCGAAGCCAGCCTGGCCAGGAAAGTCCATGAGACCCTTATCTCCAATTAACCACCAGAAAACTGGAAGGAGAGCTGTGACTTAAAGTGGTAGGGCTCTAGCCTTGAGCAGAAAAGCTCAGGGACAGTGCCCAAGCCTTGACTTCAAACCCCATGACTGGAGAGACAGAGAGAGAGAGAGCGCTTCTCAGGTGAAAGGATCAGTGTGAACATGGCCAAGGAGACAGAGAAGTGTCTGCTGTTGTGGCTGGAGCAAAGAGAGAAACAAAGAAGAAAGGGAAGTGATTACAGGTGAGAGGAGCTAGATTTTGGTTTGAATCTCTGGAGCTATGGAATTGGTTCTGGGCCCTCATGGGTGGATAGGACTTGGGCATGATACCTTATTAGATTCAATGACATAAGTGAAATAGGCCAGTAGATCTGTAGAAATACAGTGAAAGATTGGTTCTGAGACTGGAGAGTCCTGTGTTAGGAGACTGGCTTCTACAGATGTGGACCACTGCTGCTCCATTAGCTCTAAGCTCCTCCTCTGTGTTAGAACCGGAAGTGTTCATAGTTGGTAGTGTTATAGCTCATGTGTGATCAAGTAGATAAAAACTAAGACGTTTTACAAATGTTCAAGGGTTTTTTTTTTTTTTTTTCTGCTGACTTAGTTCTGAGTAAAAACTGAGCAGCTTCTGCCCTCGCTGCAATTTTGGGTTCTAGCAACATCGTGGCTCATCAGAACCCAACTGTTATTTTTGAGAAGAGAACACACCTACGCAAGGCAGTTCTCCAAAGGCATCCTTCCCCAGCCCCCCTTCCTTGCGGTGTCTATAGCCAAGAGCCTGTGGCTGGGATTCAAACCATCTGGGCTGGAGACCTAGTTCTGCCATTGCCTGCTGGGTGACCCCCCTGAGCCAGAGGTTTTTTTTGGCTGCTGTTGTTTTTGTCTGTGTAGAATGGGGGTTGGAATGGGAGCTGTGATTTCACTAGCCTAAGGGTTTCCCTCCTAAGGCTAGCCAGGTAGCAGAAATACATGAGAAGTATTGGGGTTTTGAGAAACTTTTTAATGTAAGTTCAACACAAAAGGTATACAGATTTTGTGGTGGGGTGGTGGTTGTTTTGGTAGGTTGTGGGGCTTGAACTTAGGGCCTGGGTGCTGTCCCTGAGCTTTTTCTCAGGGTTAGTGCTCTACCACTTTGAGTCACAGTGCCACTTCTGGTTTTCTGGTTGTTAATTGGAGATAAGAGACTCATGGACTTTCCTACTCAGCCTGACTTCAAACTGCCAACTTCAGATATCAGCTTTCTGAGTAGCTAGGATTATAGGTGTGAACCACAGGTGCCAGGCTCAGGGCATTCAGTTTTGAATGTCCATGCATTGTTGTTGTTATTGGTGTGTGTGTGTGTGTGTGTGTGTGTGTGTGTGCGCTGGTCCTAGGGCTTGAACACAGGGATCCTGCTATCCAGGCTGGCTTTGAACAGCAATCCTTAGGTCTCAGCCTCCTGAGTAGCTAGGATTATAGGAGTGAGCCACCAGCACCGAGTTTTTTGTTTTTTTTTTTAACTCAGGGCCTGGCGCTTACTTAATAAGCACTCTACTACTAGAACTATCCTCCCAGTACTTTTTTGTTGTTATTTTTAATTCATTTTATAGATTAAGTCTCATGATAACTTTGTTCCAATAGCCTTAAACCTGGATCCTCCTTTCTCTGCTTACAGGGGTTACAGTTAGGCTCACTATGCTATGCCCAAGTATAGTGGTATGATGGTTTATTCCTGTAATCTCAGTACTAGGGAAGATCTCCCATTAGAGGCTACTTTGGCTACACATATTAAGACCCTGTCTTGAAAAATTAAAACTCAAATAGAATGGAAGAAAATACGAATCTCAAGTTGGACACTGGTGGCTCATGCCTGTAATCCTAGTTATTCAGGAAGCTGAGATATGAGGATCATGGTTTAAAGCCAGCCCAGGCAGGAAAGTCCAAGAGACTTTTGTTTTGTTTTGTTTTGTTTTTGGGTCCGGTTGTGGGGCCTGAACTCTGGGCCTGAGCGCTGTCCCTCAGCTCTTCAGCTCAAGGCTAGTGCTCTACCACTTGAGCCACAGCGCCACTTCCGGCTTTTTTCTTTTTGCTTATGTGGTGCTGAGGAATCAAACCCAGGGCCTCAGGCATGCAAGGCAAGCGCTCTACCACTGAGCTACCATCCCAGCCCCCAAGAGACTTTTATCTCCAATGAGTCACCAGAAAATGGGAAGTGGCACTGTGACTCAAGTGGTAGAACACTAGCCTTGAGCTGAAGAGCTGAGGGACAACGCCCAGGCCCAGAGTTCAAGCCCCATGATTGACGAAAAAAAAATCATCAAATAACCATCTGAACATATTCCTCAAGTTTGAAGTTCCTGAGTGAGGCCTGTCCTAATGCCTAATAGTTGGTTTGTTTTTTTTTAAACTAGTCCTGAGGCTTGAACTCATGGCCTGGGCACTCTCCCTGAGCTCTTTTGCTCAAGGTTAGCACTCTACCCTGTGAACCACAGCATCACTTTCGACTTTTTCTGTGTATGTGGTACTGAGGAATCAAACCTAGGGCTTCCTGTTTGCTAGGCAAGCACTCTACCACTAAGCCCCATTCCCAGCCCCACTAATGCCTAATTCTTATGACTGTCTTCTTCCTAGCCTTCGAGGAGGATCGCTGCTTTGCTCCTTTCCTGGCACATGGCAATGTCACTACCACTGACCCTGAGTACCGCCCAGGGGCACTGGCTACCTTCTCATGCCTCCCGGGCTATGCCCTGGAGCCCCCAGGTCCCCCCAATGCCATCGAGTGTGTGGATCCCACAGAACCCCACTGGAATGACACAGAGCCAGCCTGCAAAGGTGAGCCCCCTACATTCATTCCACAAAATCCTCAGCCTACAGCCTGCCACTCAGGAAGGGACCTGTGTATCCAAATCTAATAAACCCAAAGCTTGGGTAAATCCTTGCCCTTTAGAGACTGTTTTCTTAGCTGAATAATTGGTGGGGCTTGTTATTGGATTCAGAGGTCACAAAACCAAAATGTCTTCAAGAGCTAAATCATGGATTAGGTGGGTAAAATGGATGGTGGGTGGGGTTAATTAAGAAGAGGGCTGAGAACCAACTGCAGATGGCTCATACATGTAGTCATAGCTACTCAGAAGACTGAGATTGGAGGATTGAAATTGGAAAGTCATCTGGGGCAAGAAAGTCTATGAGACTTTTATCTTCAATTAACCACACAAAAAAGCTGGAAGTGGAGCTGTGTGACTCAAGTGTTAGAACTTCAGCCTTGAGTGAAAAAGCTAAGGGACAGTACCCAGCCTTGAGTTTAACCCCCAGTAGCAGCAAGCACACAAGAAGAAAGAAAGAGAGGGCTGGGAAGGTGGCTCAGTGGTAGAGCGCTTGCCTTGCATGCCTGAGGCCCTGGGTTCGATTCCTCAGCACCACATAAGCAGAAAGAAAAAAAGCTGAAGTGGCGCTGTGGCTCAAGTGGTAGAATGCTAGCCTTGAGCTGAAGAGCTGAGGGACAGCGCCCAGGCCCAGAGTTCAGGCCCCACAACTGGACCCCCCCCCAAAAAAAAGAAAGAGAGGGGGGAGGGAGGGAGGGAGGGAGGGAAGGAAAGAAGGAAGAAAAAAGGAAAGAAAGAACAAGAACAAGGCTTGAGGATGCAAAAAGAAAAAAAAAATGATTTTGTTGGACACAACAAAGTCTAGATGTGGCAAGAAAGAGGTGGATTATCACTACCAGAAAACATATAAGGTAGCCTAGTACCTCCTTTGGAAATAATGAAAATCATGATCAAAGCAGATTTTCTGCTATGTGGGTCTTTTTTTCTTTTGCTTGAACTCAGGGCCCAGGCACTGTCCCTTAGCTTTTCCACTCAAGGTTAGTGCGCTACCACTTGAGCCACAGCTCCACTTCTGGTTTTCTAGTGTAGATAAGAGTCTCACAGATTTTTCTGCCTAGACTCACTTCAATCCACGATCCTCAGATCTCAACCTCCTGAGTAGCTAGCATTACAGGCGTGAGTCACTTAGCTTCCACATGGGTCTTGAAAATGACACCTCTTCTGCCCTAGCCATGTGTGGAGGGGAGCTGTCTGAGCCGGCTGGTGTGGTCCTCTCTCCTGACTGGCCCCAGAGCTACAGCCCCAGCCAGGACTGCATGTGGATCCTGCACGTCCAGGAAGAGAGGCGCATCTTGCTCCAAGTTGAAATGTATGTTTGGGTCCTGAAGAAGATGCAATGGGTGTGGTGTTCATCTGCATTCCAGGCAGAGTTGGGTAGATGTATGATCTTGTGAGAGAGGGCTCTAAGAGTGCAGGAGGGGAATGGGAGACCGACGTTCCATCACTGGTTAGCCAGGAAACCTAAACAAGTAAAAGAGTAACACAGCCCCCTCCTTAAAGGTATCCTGAGCAAGGGACTCTGGCATTGCTGATTTCTGAGACTGGCCTGGGTGGGCTTTTCAGGGTTTCCTGCTCCCACACATCTTCGCCACTATCTAAGCTGGGGGGTGGGTGCAAGGAGACCCCCATCCCCCTGCTGATTTGGTGTGAGGCTGTCCTGTGATTGGACAGAACCCGGAGTGGGTGTGGCCCCAAAGCAGATGAAACTCTAGAAAGGGCTCATGTTCCCTGGGGGAAGAACACGGTCTGTGACTGATTTGGATGTTCCTAGAGGATGGAGGAGGAGATTGAATGGACCCAGTGTTGAGCAAGGTGGGGGACTGGGAAGCAGAAGAGAGGAGCAATGGGTGGAACAGGTGGAGCCTAGAGGGGTGGGGCTAGAATAGAAGAAAAATCCAGGGATTGGTCAAAACTGGGGCGGGGGCGGGGCCATTCCGGAGGGAGGAGGATTGGGGGCGGGGCCTAGTGCTGGCTGGGGGGGAAAGAGCAGAGTTGGGGTGGGAGGGGCCGGCATCAGCCCCGCCCACACTCACCCTGGGGTCTCCCCGCAGCTTGAACGTGCGGGAAGGGGACATGCTGACCCTGTTCGACGGGGACGGTCTCAGTGCCCGAGTCCTGGCCCAGCTGCGGGGACCTCAGCCGCGCCGCCGCCTCCTCTCTTCCGGGCCGGACCTCACGCTGCAGTTCCAGGCCCCGCCCGGGCCCCCCAATCCAGGCCTAGGCCAGGGCTTCGTATTGCACTTCAAAGGTACCAGAGAAGGGGCCCCCCCCCCGGGGTTGCCAGGGCGCCCCAGGCCAAGGGCAGCTTCCAATCTGGCCCCTGTGTCCCCTGCAGAGGTCCCGAGGAATGACACGTGCCCCGAGCTGCCGCCCCCCGAGTGGGGCTGGAGGACGGCGTCCCACGGGGACCTGATCCGGGGCACCGTGCTCACTTACCAGTGCGAGCCGGGCTACGAGCTGCTGGGCTCCGACATCCTCACCTGCCAGTGGGACCTCTCCTGGAGCGCCGCGCCTCCCGCCTGCCAAAAGAGTGAGCCAGGCCCCACCTTGTCCTCCGCCCCTGGGTCTGCACACCCCGTCCCCTGGGGGGGTTCCATCCCATGGGGCCTGCCTCCCTCCCTGTCCCTGTGGTCCCTGGTCAGTTCTGCGTTCCAGCCCTTTGCTCTGGATCCTGCCTGGCTCTTCTTCAGGCCCTGCCCCAATGCCCTTTGGGTTTGTTTCCCTCTGGCCCATACCCTCACCCTGTTCTTTCTGGATCCCTGCTCATCTCTGGGGTTCACCCTTGTTTTCTATGGTTTAGGGTCTGGTCAATGTTTCTCTGAGTCCCATCTCTTGGTTTCATGGCCCCACATCTCCTGTTCTGGCCTCTGCTGAGTCTTGAGCCTCACCACTCCCAGTGTTTTGTTTTTGTTGTGGTGGGTTTTTTTTTTGGGGGGGGAGGGGACTCCACTGGGCTTAGCATCACTGATTCTTCATTCTGCTCTAAGTCCACCCAAACTCTTCAGTCCACAATCCTTGACCTTGTTAGAAATCACTTTGCTAGGGCCATAGCTTGTCAGAGGATTTGGCTTTTTATTTATTTATTGGGTCCGGTCGTGGGGCCTGAACTCTGGGCCTGGGCGCTGTCCCTCAGCTCTTCAGCTCAAGGCTAGCATTCTACCACTTGAGCCATAGTACCACTTCCGGCTTTTTTCTTTTTGCTTATGTGGTGCTGAGGAATCGAACCCAGGGCCTCAGGCATGCAAGGCAAGCGCTCTACCACTGAGCTACCTTCCCAGCCCCTTTTTATTTATTTTTGTGCCAGAACTAGGACTGGAACTCAGGGCCTGGAGACTGTCCCTTAGCTTCTTGGCTCAAAGCTGGCACTCTACCACATGAGCCACACTGCCACTTCCAGCTTTTTGATGGTTAATTGGAGCTGGGAGTCTCTCAGACTTCCTTGTCTGGGCTGGCTTTGAACTGTGATCCTTAGATCTCAGCCTTCTGAGTAGCTAGGATTACAGGTGTGAGCCACTGGCACCCTGCTTGGATTATTTTCATGAGGTCACTGAAGGCCAGTTCTAGAGACCAGGTTTCAGGCCCCTTCTTGCCTTAATGAAACACACAACCGGGAGAGGGGCAGATACTTAAACAATCAATGGGTGACTTCTGTCAAGGTACTTAACATCTCTGGGCCTTGGCTCCCTCATGGGTGAAGTGGAAATAGGGAGATTGTGAGGCACAAACTGAGCTTTTCACGCAGCACCTGGTGATGCCTGGTCCAGGAATAAACTGAATCAGGAGCCACTAAGTACACGGCTGTGCTGCTGGAAGAGCAGTTGTGTGGACATTTCCTGGAGTTGAGAGGAGTTGGGGTACCTCTTGTAGAAGAGCAGAACCAGGTGGGGGGTAGCAGCTCATCACTTCTTCTGATTTGGGGGGAAGCCTGTTACAGGATATGTGTGGTTGTAGATCTTCTGCATGGCCCTTGGGACTGGTGGCAGTGGACCGTCTCACAATGGGGAGAAGTTTCAGGTAGCCAGTTTTGTGCTGGACAAGAGGAAGATTGTGTATAGTTGACATAGCTCCCTGTCCCTGGAAGTCTTCACAGAACAAATAGACTGAGCTTGATGTGAGCTGAGACTTGGGTCTTTACCTCTCTGTTCAGTGCTCTTGGCTGTGACCCAGGGCAGGTTCTAGCTCTGCTGCTCTCTGGCTGAGGCAGAAGAACTCAGAGCAAGGGAGAAGCTAGAGGCCTTGATCTCTTGACATAAGCCGGGCTAAATATACCTCTCAAACTTTAAACAGGGTGCCAGGCACAGGTCTATCTACATAAGTGGCTACGATTATAATCATCCACAAGAGCATCGTAAGCTCACATGCCTACCTATGTGATCAGAGTGTCTGGGGCATGGCAGGAATGTAGAGGACAGGAGAGCTGACCTTCTATTTATTTATTTTATTTATTTGTTTGGTTTTTGCCAGTCCTGGGGCTTGAACTCAACGCCTGGGCACTGTCTCTGAGCTTCTTTTGCTCAAAGTTAGCACGCTACCACTTGAGCCACAGTGCCACTTCCAGCTTTTTCTGTGTATGTGTACTGAGGAATGGAACCCAGGGCTTTATGCATGCTAGGCAAGCACTCTACAATTAACCCACATTCCCAGCTCCTGGCTCTCTCTAAAGAGGGCAGCCAGGCACTGGTGGCTCATGCCTATAACCCTAACTACTCAGGAGGCCAAAATCTGAGGATTGTGATTCAAAGTCAGCTTGAGCAAGAAAGCCTGTGAGACTCTTATCTCCAATTAACAGCAAAAATCCCAAAGTGGAGGTTTGGTTCAAGTGGTAGAGCATCAGCCTTGTGTTAAAAAGCTAAGGAAGAGCCTGGAGCTGGTGGCTCATTCTTGTCATCCTAGCTACTCAAGAGGCTGAGATCTGAGGATCATGGTTCAAAGCCAACCCCAGGCAGGAAAGTCCATGAGACTCTTTTCTCCAATTAACTTCCAAAGAAAGCCAGAAGTGGAGCTGTGGCTCAAGTGATAGAGTGCTAGGCTTGAGCACAAAAGCTCGGGGAGAGCACCCATGCCCTGAGTTCAAGCCCCAGGACTGGCTTGCACACAGGCCTGTACACACACACACACACACACACACACACACACACACACACACACACACACACACACACACACACACACACCAGCAGCTGTGATCGCATAGGCCTGCTATACTGGCCTGACATTTCTGGAATCTGGCTTGGTATACTCTAGTGTAACAATGAAAATACTTTGAATTTTACCCCGGGACAAGCGGCTGGGGGGTTGCCTAACCCACCCTGTTTCCCCCCCTCCAAACAACCTAAAACACAAACCACATTGAATTGAAAGATTGAATTTTTCCATTCTTGTCCGCTTCCTTTTGAGGAGTTGGCCCCAAATTTAGAGCTCTCCCTAAATCCTAAGTGTCTAGGAGATCTTTAAGCGCCTCGTTCCCCTCCCCCAACCCTTTTCTTCTTCCCCCTCAGTCGTGACTTGTGCTGACCCTGGTGAGATCACCAATGGCCACCGCACCACCTCGGATGCCGGCTTCCCCGTGGGCTCTCATGTCCAGTACCGCTGTCTGCCAGGGTACAGCCTGGAGGGCGCAGCTGTGCTCACCTGCTACAGCCGCGACACAGGCACACCCAAGTGGAGCGACCGGGTCCCCAAATGCGCCTGTGAGTCTAGGGAATGGGAGGGGCTGGGGGAGGAGCCTATGGGCTCCCGGGACTGCACCTGCTCATCTGATTGGCCCCCTTCCTGCAGTGAAGTACGAGCCATGCCTGAACCCCGGCGTCCCTGAGAATGGCTACCAGACACTGTACAAGCATCACTACCAGGCGGGCGAGTCTCTTCGCTTCTTCTGCTATGAGGGCTTTGAGCTTATCGGCGAGGTCACCATCACCTGTGTGCCCGGCCACCCCTCACAGTGGACCAGCCAGCCCCCGCTCTGCAAAGGTGCCCAAGAAGGACAGGCCAGGAGGGTCCAGCGAGTGGACAGGGCTGGGAAAGCTGGGTAGAAAATTGGAGACCAATGGGTGACCCTGTGGGGCTTCCTGTGCTTTGATTCTCTTCCTCCAAGGCATATCTAGACGTCCTGGAGACACTGGAGATACCCTCTATTACATCATGTAGTAGAGGGGGCCTTGGTTTGGAAGCCCCCTTGTCTTCTCTGGAGAGGCCTCAGTTTCCCTATTTGACAAATCCTAATGAGCTGATTGGCTCAGACTGTCCAGGAACTGAACCCTTAGCGGTGTAGAGGAAGAAGGAGATGGCCCTGCCCTATCTTCCCTTGGTCCTCACTAAGAGAAGGCTTAGTTTAGGTTGAGCAAAGCGCAGAGAGAACCAGACTATCCAGCCCAGCCCCACCGGGCTCCGGCCCTCTCCCCGGCCTCCTTCCCTCCCTGGCTCAGACCCCGTCCCCCTCCCCCTCCTCTCCCTGCAGTGGCCTATGAGGAGCTCCTGGACAACCGAAAACTGGAAGGTCAGTGAGGCCACAGGTGGAGACCAGGCCTGGCCAGGTCGGGAGGGCAAAGTAGAGGCCGGGGGCAGTGAGGCCAGGCCCCAGAGGGGCGAGGCCTAGGGTTCAGGGCCCAGGGTAGGAGGCTGGGAGAGCCTAGTACTGGGCCAGCCTTGGCTCATTGGTCTCTTCTCCTCCTCCCCAGTGACGCAGACCACAGACCCATCACGGCAACTGGAAGGCGGAAACCTCGCCCTGGCCATCCTGCTGCCCCTCAGCTTAGTTATTATTCTTGGCAGTGGTGTTTATGTATATTACACCAAGTAAGTACCCCACTGGGGGAACTGCCCACCAGGGGCAAATACCATGTCTCCTGGTTTACCTGCTGAGAAGATCCTGTCTCCTCTCTTCTGCAGGCTACAAGGCAAATCCCTTTTTGGCTTCTCCGGCTCCCACTCCTACAGTCCCATCACTGTGGAGTCCGACTTCAGTAATCCACTGTATGAAGCTGGGGTGAGCCCCGCCCTGCCTCCCACAGTACCACAGCTACCCCAGACTCTTCTCAAAACATGCCATTGCAAAGTCAGCTGCCCATGAAGGCCATAGCAGTGGGTTCGCTTGGCTATGTGGGAACAATGAGGGGGGGGTGGCAAATTAGAAAAGGTGTGTCCCGTCTAAGGACACACTCCACAGTGGATGCTTGAGCTCAATTTTGAGATTTTTCTAGGTATTCAATCCAGAAATCCAAGTATCAAATATGTCATTTGGAGCGTGTGTGTGTGTGTGTGTGTGTGTGTGTGTGTGTGTGTGTGTGCCTGGACACTGTCCCTTAGTGCTTTCTCTCAAGGCTGGTGCTCCGCCACTTGAGCCACAGCTCCATTTTTGGAGCCACTTTTTGGTGGTGAATTGGAGATTAGAGTCTCACAGACTTTCCTGCCTGGGCTGGCTTTGTCGATCTTCAGATCTCAGCCTCCTAAGTGTCTAGGATCATAAGTATAAATTACCAAAGCCTGGCCCATTTTTTATTCTATCTGATGACCTAAACATAGCCATTGGCCAGATTCAGCCCTCTCCACCAAAGTTACTTTATTTTATTATTTTTGTTTTTGGTTGGTCATGGGGCCTGAACTCTGGGCCTGGGTGCTGTCCCTCAGCTCTTCAGCTGAAGGTTAGCACTCTACCACTTGAGCCACAGCACCACTTCCAGCTTTTTCTGCTTATGTGGTGCTGAGGAATTGAACCCAGGGCCTCATGCATGGGAGGCAAACACTCTACCACTGAGCTGCCTTCCCAGCCCCCAAAGTTACTTTAATATAGGGTCTTTCCCTCCTTATGGAAGCCTTCCTTCCCATTTGCTGCCTTCACCACCTCCACTTTACTCCAGCAACTGACTTGATCTCTCTGTCTCCAGGATACGCGGGAATATGAAGTTTCCATATGAACCCCAAGACAAAGGCTGCAGGACCCAGAATACCCCTCCCCTCCTCATCTGAGGCAGTGGGGGAGCACAGGACCTAGTGGCCGGCTCCTGACTCCCCTCCCCCCCTGCTGTGTAAATAGTCTCCCTATCCCAATGAGGGGGCTTCATGGCCCTGAAGAGCCTACAGTAAACAAACCAGCATCCTGCCATCCAAGGCTGCCTCTTCTCCATTGCCAAACAAGGGGCCTGGCACCCCTCACCCCCCTGCCCAATGGCTTATGGACCCTGGGAGGGAAACTCAGCCCCCTTACCACCTTTGGGGTCCCTGAAGCCCAGGGCCCCTGTCCCTCAACTCCCCCCCCCCCCAGATCCCAACAGCTCTACTGTCCCCCTCAGTTGTGAGGGCCCCTCTCCTCCTTGATGCCTGATTGGTGGGCCGGAAGACAAATGAGGGGAGAGAGCCTGGCCAGGGCTACCCTCTTCCTCCCCTCCCCCCCTACCCCGCAGTCTCCTCATGATCTTTCCACCTTTGTTTGCTTCTGGATTTTTGTTTTTGAGCAATAAACAGAAAATCATCACTTGTAACTGGGGTGCTGTGGTAAACCCCTCTGGAAAGAGACTTTAGGGAAGGGTGGAAAGATGGAAATCCAAAACAGAGCACTAGGCAAAAGCATTGTTCTGGCCTGGGTCAGAAAGCCTGGCCTGAGCTTGGTGGCTTATGACTTATAATTATAGCTACTCAGGAGGCCGGATCTGAGGATCATGGTTCAAAGCCAGCCAGGGTAGGAAAGTCTGTGAGACTCATCTCCAATTGCCCACCAAAAAGCTGGAAGCGGAGCTATGGCTCAAGCAGTAGAGAGCCAGCCTTCATCAAAAAAGCTCAGGGAAAGCTACCAGACACTGAGTTCAAGCCCAGGACACACTCTCTCTCTCCTCTCCTCTCTCTCTCTCTCTCTCTTCCTCTCCTCTCTCCTCTCTCTCTATCTCTCACACACACACACAGAGTCTCATACTTCGGCTTGAGGCTCAGGCTCTGTGGAGGATGGGCTAGAACTACTTGCCACTCATAAGCCACACCTTGACATTGCCAGGCTGATTGTCAGGAGATAGACACTTCCCATTTCGTTTATGACTGGTTTCCCCAAAGTTCAGACCCCTTGGAAGAACTTTTGTAGCCATTCAAGTATACCATTCTCTCCCCAAACCCAAACCTTTTTTTGGGGGCAGTTAATTTCCTTTTCTCCTTTTGTTGCATTTCGGTGATTCATTGGAAATAAGAGTCTCACAGACTTTCCTGCCTGGGCTGGGTGCAAACCATGATTCTTAGAGCTTAGCCTCCTGATTACAGGCGGGAGCCACCCGTGCCTGGCTCATTCGTGCTTTTAAAAGAAGGAAATTGGGACTGCAATGTAAAGTCCAGAGCTGATCGCTTGGACTTCTGGCTAGAAATGAGTGCAGTGTGTCCCATACAGGATAGGTCTGGGGAGGCCCCAAAGCTTGGAGAAGAGACAGCAGCTCAGGATCCTCAGTACCCATGGTGGCACTGATGCTGCGCCTCCAAGCGAGATGGGCCTCACAGATGCCACAGACATGGCTGCCAGAGACCAGTTTGGCAGCCAACCACTGCCACCAGAGTGATCATAACCGCCCTCCAATAATCCACCCAGCATCCACTTCTCCTCCCTCACCCAGAGACGCCACATGAGCGCAATCACTGGCGTGAGCTGCCAGGAAGATAGGGTCCCCAACTCTTTATTAAAACGCTTTTCCTAGTGCTGTCCTTGCTGGCAGAGGATGGAGAGTCCCGTGATGGTTCTAGAGCCATCTGTTGGCTTCGGGTGTGAGCAGGGATCCCTCTCAAAGGAAGTACGTAACAAGTTGCATGCTCCAGGAGGACAAAATGGGGGAAGGAGGGCAGAAGAGGCCGGAAGTAGGGTTCATCCCCCAGTGGTCAAGCTGCTGTGCGAGCTCCCTGAAAGAGAATATCACTTCAGCCACAGCTCCTCTTTGACGTTCTGTTTGTTTCTGATTAATTGGAGATAAAAGTCTCACAGAGTTTCCTGCCCGGGCTGGCTTTTAAGTGCGATCCTCAGATCTCAACCTCCTGTATAGCTAGACTTCCACGTGTGAGTCACCACAGTGCCCCACAATCTGTGACTTTTTTTTTTTTTTTTGCTAGTCCTGGGGCTTGAACTCAGGGCCTGGGCACTGTCCTTTGAGCTTCTTTTGCTCAGGGTTCGCACTCGACCACTTGAACCACAACAGCCTTTTCTGTTTATGTGGTATTGAGGCATCAAACCTTGGGCTTCATGCATGCTAAGTAAGCACCCTACCACTAAGCCACATTCTTAGCCATCTTTGACTTTTTAGACCTAAGATCCAGGTTATCTTGTTATCTAGCTATCCTTCCATTTTCTTTGTGTTTTTGTTTTTTGGGTCTGGTTGTGGGGCCTGAACTCTGGGCCTGGGCGCTGTCCCTCAGCTCTTCAGCTCAAGGCTAGCGCTCTACCACTTGAGCCACAGCGCCACTTCCGGCTTTTTTCTTTTTGCTTATGGGGTGCTGAGGAATCGAACCCAGGGCCTCAGGCATGCAAGGCAAGCGCTCTACCACTGAGCCACCTTCCCAGCCCCCATCCTTCCATTTTCCATCTACCATTCCCATCTATTCACCCCTCCAACCCGTATTCAACTTCCATCTACAAACTGTTACTCCTCATCCTCATCCATCTTTCAACTCTTCCATCCATCTGCTATACACCCACCCACTCTCTCTTCTCTCCAGTCATTACCTCCCCCTCCCCACAAAGGAGCTCAACAGCAAAGATTCTATTTTGCTAACTGCTATACTCCAACTCCTAAGATGGGGATGACACACATGTTCAGTGAATTTTTCAACTCACCCAGTTATTTCCTATTCCTCCTTTTTACCCATTGCTCCACTTAACTCTTAACTTATTTTTTTCTTTTTGCTGTTACTGGAATTTGCTTTGCTGGCCCTCTCCCATTTAAGCTATACCTTTTTGCTGGTTATTTTGGAGATGGAATCTTATCGCTTTTCTGCTTGGATTGGCTTTTCTGCTTGGATTCCTGAGTAGCTAGGATTACAGGTATGAGCCACTGTGCCAAGCTTTTTTCTGCTACTTCCAGCTCTTTCTAATACCAGCCCAGCTGGGAGAGCCCTGGGGTTTCAAAGGCCCTAGAGAGTCAGCTCCTTAAGCTCATTCTCAGCTGCAAATATGAACCTCAGGTTCATACCTTAATAATAACAATAAAATTATATTTAAAAAAAGAATAAAACAGCCAGGTGCCGGTGGCTCATGCCTTGTAATCCTAGCTACTCAGGAGCCTGAGATCTGAGGATCGAAGTTCAAAGCCAGCCAAGGCAGGAAAATCCCTGAGACTCTTATCTCCAATTAACCACCAGAAAACCGGAAGTGGTGCTGTAGAGTGCTGGCCTTAAGCTGAAGAGCTGAGGAACAGTGCCCAGGCCCAGAGTTCAAGCCCCACGACCGACCAAAATTAAAAAAAAAAAAAAAAGACTAAACCAGCCAGGGGCCAGTGACTCATACCTATAATCCTAACTATACAGAAAGCTGAGAACTGAGGATCATGATTTAAAGCCAGCCTGAGCAAGACCCTAAGATTCTTTTTGTTGTTGTTGTTGTTGGTCATGGGGCCTGAACTCTGGGCCTGGGCGCTGTCCCTCAGCTCTTCAGCTCAAGGCTAGCACTCTACCACTTGAGCCACAGTGCCACGTCCCCCAAGTGGAGCTGTGGCTCAAAGTGGTACAGTGCTAGCCTTGAGTAAAAAATGCTCAGAGACAGCACCCAGGCCCTGAGTTCAAGCCCCATGACTGACAAAAGAAAAGAAAAAGGAAAAAATAAAATATATAAAACATCTTTTTAAGTACAAGTTGTCATGTCGAAAACGAACTTTACAACTTTGGTGGGGGGGGGGGGGGGGGGGGGGGGGGGGGGGGGGGGGGGAGGCTGGGAAGGGATGGGAAGGGTAAACAAAGGAGGAGGCTACAATGCTTGATAGGAAATATACTCATTATCTTGCCCATGTAATTGTAACCACTCTGTACAGTATGTTCACAATAAAAAAAAATGGAAACAAAAAACATCTTTTTAAAAAAGAAATAGTGGCTCAAGTGATAGAGCATATGCTTAACAAGCCCAAGGCTCTGAGTTAAAACCCAGTAGTAGCCAGGTGCCGGTGGCTCACACCTGTAATCCTAGCTACTCAGGAGGCTGAGATCTGAGAATCGCAGTTCAAAGCCAGCCCGAGCAGGAAAGTCAGTGAGACTCTTATCTCCAATAAACCACCAGAAAACCGAAAGTGGCACTGTGGCTTAAGTGGTAGAGCGCTCGTCTTGAGCTGAAGTGTGCAGGGACAGCACCCAAGCCCAGAGTTCAAGCCCAATGATCGACCCCCCCCCAAAAAAAAAAAACAACCAAAAACCCAGTACTACTAAAACAAAACATTTATGCCTGTCTTACAGAAGCTCTTCAAGGACTCTTCATCTATAAAAAACCTCAGATATCCATCAGGCATGCACAGGGTCTCGTCTACCCTGCCTGCCTCAGCCCCACTCCCGGCTTTTTCTGCTTGTGTGGTGCTGAGGAATCGAACCCAGGGCCTCATGCATGCAAGGCAAGCGCTCTACCACTGAGCCACCTTCCCAGTAAGACTTTCTTATTTCTCCTTTCTTTTTGTGCTGTACAGTGTTTGAATTCAGGACCTTGTGCTCTCACCTATAGCTTTTTCATTCATGGCGGGTATGCTACCAATTGAGTCACAGCTCTACTTCCAGAATTTTTTTTGCTGGTTAACTGGAGATAAGAACCCGACAGACTTTTCTACCCAGGTTGGCTTTGAACTGAAATTCTCAGATCTCAGTTTGCTGAATATTTTAGGATTATAGGCGTGAGCCACCTGCAAACATCTCTCATCTCTTGTCTTTAATGATGCAGTCCCTACTGTATGGAATTACTCCTATTAGCCCTTGGTTTGCTGGAAGGTTCTTTCTTTGGGTGTCTCCTCCTTCAGGAAGTTCCATGATTCCTTTCCTTCCTGTCCCAGTTGAAGGTGGACTATAAACAGCCTTCTTATTGTTCTCATTTCTATTATGGGCATTTACCCAACATTGTAAATAATCATTTACTTCTACACACTGAATTTTTGTTTTGTTTTTGTGCTGGTACTGGAGCTTGAACTGGGGTGCTGTCCTTAGCTTTAGCACTCAAAGCTGATGTTTAATACTTGAGCCACAGCTTTTTGCTGATTAACTGAAGATTTGAGTTTCCACTAAGGGACTTTCCTGCCTGGATGGGCTTTGAACCTTGATCCTCAGATCTCAGCCTCCTGAGTAGCTAGGATTACAAGTGTGAGCCACCAGTGTCTAAACTGAATTCTTCAAGGGCTGAAACTATATCCTTCACTTCTTTTCTTTCTTTTTTTTTTTCTTTTTTTTTTGTCCATCGTGGGGCTTGAACTCTGGGCCTGAGTGCTATCCCTCAGCTCTTCAGCTCAAGGCTAGCGCTCTGCCACTTGAGCTACAGCACCATCTCCAGTTTTCTGGTGGTTTATTGGAGATAAGAGTTTCACAGACTTTTCTGCCTGGGCTGGCTTTGAACCACGATCCTCAGATCTCAGCCTCCTGAGTAGCTAGGATTACAGGCGTGAGCCACTGGTGCTCGGCTATATCCTCATTTCTGTATCCCAAGCTCCTAATACAGGCACCGGCTTGTCATACAAACGAAATGGCCTTTACACACCTTTTCACGAGGAGACGGCAGGAGATGTGCCTTGTTTCGAGTACGGTTTTTGTCAGAACTGGAGATGGTAGAAAAGGAAGAAGGCTAAGAACTCTGAATTTCAGTTTCTGGGCAGAAGAGAATTTCATGGTTCAGAATTCTCCTGCCCCGTTGGGATGTCATCTCCCATTCTCCCTCATCTTTCTCCCAGGATAAAGCCTCACTCACCGGGTGTCTGTGCCTCGCGTATTGGTGAACAATGCTGGAAGAAGAGGCCCCAGTTAAAAAAAAAAATGATACCCATGACCAGAAAGAGATGTGGCTAGGGCAGAAGCGATCAAGACAATTCCTGATCAGCAGTGACATGTAGGGACTAGGTTAGTGAGCAGAAGCATTGTGAGGAGGTCTGGCAATGCAGTAGGAGACCCAGGAATAGATTTCTGGATGATTAGCTAGGTCTGGAAGAGAGAGGATCAGGGACTGGGGGAGGGGGTGTCTTGGTGGGTTCTTGTTGTTGTTTTGTGGGTATGGGAGGCTGCGTGTGTGCATATGCTGGTATTGGTCTGGGCACTGTCCTTTTTAGCTCTTTCACTCAAGGCTGGCACTCCACCACTTGAGCCACACCTTCACTTCTGGCTTTTCTGGTGGTTAATTGGAGTTTAAGAGTCTCACAGACTTTCCTGCCTGAGATGGCTTCCAATCACTTTCCCAAGATCTGACAAAGGTGACAGGTGTGAGCTACCAACTCATTGCCTGGGAAAGTGTTAAGATACAGTGGGACTGAAGCGGGGGGGGGGGGGGGGGGGGGATCACCGTGTCTGGAGATCTGAGTCCCTTGGTCTTTTGTTTGCTTTTCCTTGACAGGCGGCACCGGGTTCACACAGCCAGCAATACATAAGGCCTCATCAGTGAGTTCTGCGCTGATCCGGCTCAGGAATTCCTCAGAACGGGATACTGAAACTTTCTGAGAAAGGAAAAGGCAGCCCATCTCAGCCTGGGATCTCCCCTTTGCCTTGGGGTCTGGTCACTGTGAGACTGAGGAGTTTGGAATTGGGCTAGGTTAGTGAGCAGGGTCACTATGTGGAGGGCTGGCAGTGAGGTAGGAGACCCAGGAAAAGATTTCTGGGGGATCAGCTATGGCAGTGGTTGTGGGATTCAGGGCTTAGGCCCAAAATCTCTGTCTAGGAGCTGTCCAACTCATAAGGCCCCTCCATGCTCACCGGCCGGGAGGCTGCAGCTTGAGATGGCCGGCTTTGCTTTTTCTCCTCATTCTTGATGGGAGTGGATGCCATCCCTCTGGGAACAGTGGAAGCCTTTATGAGATGGGAGAAATCAGCTCATTTCCCCCAGGGCCCTGTTCCTCCAGCCATTCCCAGAGCCCAGGTTTAACTGAAGGCCTTCAGCCAAAACACCCTCCATCCATCAAAACAAACAAACAAACAGACAGACTAGCCAGGCAGTGCTGAGGACTCATGACCCATAATCCTAGTCCTTGCTATCAGGAAGCTGAGATCTGCACACAGTGGTTGGAAGCCCTTGAGACTCATCCCCAAACAACCACCTAAAAAGTCTGAAGTGGAGCTGTGGTTCAAGAGATGAGTGCTAGCCTTAAGCAAAAAAGACCTCAGGCTCCAAGACTGGAACACACACACACACACACACACACACACACACGGGGTTGGGCAAGGGGGTGGGATGGACTGATGGCTTATACTTTTGGGGGGCGAGGGGACTCCCCACAGTGACCTCCTCCCCCTGCCAAGATCCTTCCCAAGACTTTGGCAGCCAATCTGCTGCCCAGACCTGGAAAACGGGTCGGGATCTTGGGCTACTAGGCAGGAGGGGGGAGACAAGAGAGGTAGACGGGGGACCCCGATTTTGGGTCAGGGGAGGGGGAAGGGAGGGGGAAATCAGAACTGGGGATGGGGGGGGGTTGAAGAGAGGGGTAACCAGGACGGCGGCGCTCCGATTACTATAAAAGCCTAATGTTTGCGAGGGGTTCTACCGCCCGGTTGCTAGGAGCTCAGAGGTTCTAGAATGAAAGCCGGGGCGTTTTCCGAGCATGCCCCGTGTGCGCCGCCCGCCTCCCCTTCCAGACCTGGCCTCCTCGGAGGCGGGGACCGCCCGCTGAGGACACCCAAGTGGGAGATGACGCAGGGTGGAGTCTGGGATCTAATCCTCCCGCCACTAGGGGCCCCCGAGGCCAGAAACAGCCCCGCCCCGAGCGCTCGGCGGACTCTCTAGCCGCCACTTCCCTGCCGGCCGGAGCAAACTCGGTCTGAGGCTGAGGGGGCGGGGAAAAGAAAATGCGGACTGTACCAAGTCGCCTCGCGTCTGGGGGAGGCGAAGACTCAGGAGGGCGGAACCTTCCCGCCTCAGCTTCGTCTCTACGACATTGTGACCTCCGAAACCATCAAATTAGAGGTTTTTATTGGCGTCTCCTTCTCCTTCGCTCCTCCCCTTGTCAGTTCTTTCCTTTGCCTGGCTCCAGGGTTGTTTGGTTCCCTCCCCTCCTCTCTGGATTTTTTGGTACGAGCCGCTGTAAAGGGGGCGGAGGCAGAGAAAGGAAAAGGAAGCAGGCAGGTCTTAAAGGAGCCGCAGACTTTTTTTTTTTTTTTTTTTAATTTCTAGGCTTCTTTTCTCCCTTCTCCACTTTTCCTTTTTCTTTTTTCTTTTCCACGAAGCGGGGCGAGGGAGTGGGTGCGCGGAAGCCGAGCCCCGCTGGAGCTGCAGGGATCGTTGCTAGGGGGGGGCGAGGCGCTGTCCATCGCCAGGGCGGGGGGGCGAGCCCCTGGCGCCTCGCGCACCTCTGAGCCGCCCATGCTCCGGCCTGCTGGCAGCTTTCACATCTGGAGCCGGACGAGATCCGAGGGGTCCGGAGCGCCGCTGTCGGGGCCCATGCGCCGGGGTGGAGGGTGAAGCCGAGCAGGCGAGACTGGGAGCACATTAGCACCTCCAGAGCTGGCCCTGGGCCACAAGGGGACCACCGCAATGCCCGGAGAAAACATCTTCCTTTTCGTGCCTAACCTCATCGGTGAGTGCTTGCGTGCGCCCCCCAAGACCCCAGGGTGGGGGAGCCGCGGGCCTCGAGCAGGCTTCTCTGATCCCGTGCTGTTTCTCCTGATCTCTCAACCAAGGTTATGCTCGGATCGTCTTCGCCATCATTTCTTTCTACTTCATGCCCTGCTGCCCCCTCACGGCCTCCTCCTTCTATCTGCTCAGCGGACTTCTGGACGCTTTCGATGGACACGCAGCTCGAGCCCTTAATCAAGGTGACGGCTACCTCCTACCGGCCAGCCCTGAGACCCAACAACTCCCCTGTACCTCTTTCCACCCCAGAACCTCCGAGTCCTGACAGCTCCGTCCTTCCCCCTCTCTGTCAAAAAGAAAGAAAGAGAAACACCGAATGGGCAGAGTTTGTAGCAGAAGGGATGCAACCAAACTCTTGGGAATGCCCTGCTTGTGAGGGATGTGGATTAACTGAGTCTGGACGTGACCCTGGCCAGGCCAAGAGGTCTCTCGGAATAATCCCATTCAACAGGTGTTTTGCTAGGGCCTCCTGTGTCCTGAGCCCAGGCTGGATGGAGGTCACATTCCAGAAGGCAGATTGAGATGGGGGTGGGGAGGGAAGCCAGTGACTTCCAGAGAGTTGACAAAGCCATTAATCTGCTCTCCAGCTAAGACTTCTGAGACTTCTTTGTGAGGCTTACCTGGCCTGGCCTTGCCCTGGATTTGGTTTTGGAGTTTAGAACTGCTCCCTTCCACTCCCTACTCCATGTCCTGACCTTGCCCATCTGACAGCTGTGGGTAGATTGTGGACATTTCAACCGAGCAGCAGAACAACACACCAAGTTCTTTTTTGTTTTTGTTCATTTCTTAGGAACCCGGTTTGGGGCCATGCTGGACATGTTGACAGACCGCTGTTCTACCATGTGTTTATTGGTCAACCTGGCTCTGCTGTACCCTCGAGCCACGCTTCTCTTCCAGCTCAGCATGAGCTTGGATGTGGCCAGTCATTGGCTGCATCTGCACAGGTCTGCTTTGTTTCTGTGGGCACCTACTGACCCATTAAATTGAAGTAACCAGTGGGAGGGGATCGGATCGTTCTGTTTTGTGGATGCATGGCCAATCTCTCTGAATCGGTTCTGCCATATTTTTTATAGTTAGCATTAGGAAATTTCCCAGGACATTTTGGGTTGTTTTGTTTTTCTTGATGTCAGTCTTGGGGCTTGAACTCAGGGCCTGGTGCTCTACCACTTGTGCTATAGCTCTACTTCTGGCTTTTTATGGAGGGCAAGATCATTGGATATAAAAGTCTCCTGGACTTTCCTGCCCTGGCTGGCTTTGAATTGTGGTTCTCAGATCTCAGCCTTCTGAATAGCTAGGATTACAGGTGTGAGCCACCAGTGCCAATAGATGAGGTAGAATTCCAAATGGGAGGCAGTGTGGGGGGCGCTTCTGAATGGAGCATCGAATCCTAACTCTGCTTCCACCTAGGGAACTGTGTGGCTTTCAGTTGCATCCCTGTTTTCCAGCAGTAGAATGGAAGCAGTCCTGGGACCCGCTCCTGGTCCCCACGACCAGCCCATAGGACTCATGGTAGGGTTAGGGTGGAGTCTAGTAGCAATGCAAACTCATGCATTTTCCCCCATTTTCTCCTTAAGTTCTGTGGTCCGAGGCAGTGAGAGTCACAAGATGATTGACCTTTCTGGGAATCCGGTGCTTCGTATCTACTACACCTCCAGAGTAAGTGTTTCCTGCCCCTCCCCCTGCTCCAGAGTAAGTGTTTCCTGCCCTTCCCCATCTCACTCAGTGATGGAAGGTTCTGGGCTGCACCCTGGAACCAGGTCGGGAGGGCGCAGTAGCAGAGGACAGAAAGGAGCAGCCTGTGGGCTGGTGCATGGTGGAATAAGGTATTGGTGCCTAAATGGATACTTGCCCAGAGGGCCCCTGCATACCCCAGGGGAGGAGCTATGGCTGGAGAGCAAAGGGAAGAAGCCAGAAGGAACAGAGTGTGGATTTTTTTTTTTTTTTGCTGGTCTTTGGGCTTGAACTCAGAGCCTGGGCACTGTCCCTGAACCTCTTCGTGCTCAAGACTAGCACTCTACCCCTTAAGCCACAGTGTTCCTGATTTTTCTGAGTACTTTTTCCGCAGATAAGACTCTCACAGCCTTTCCTGCCCAGGCTGGCTTTGAACCTTGATCCTCAAATCTCAGCCTCCTGAGTAGCTAGGGTAACAGGTGTGAGCCACTAGCTCATGGCCAGAGTGTGGATTTTAACCTGCTGCTAAGGACATTGTCCCCACCCCCCCAGGGGTACAGGCCTTGTTGGGGTGTAGATGTGGGGTGGTGCCGGTCCCTGCTTTTCCCTTAAACAGCTTTATGTGTGCAGCCTGCCCTCTTCACCCTGTGCGCTGGGAACGAACTCTTCTACTGCCTCCTCTACCTGTTCAGTTTCTCCGAGGGACCCTTAGGTAAGAGGAGAGAGGGGCTTAGGCTGGAAGGGGGGAGGAGGTCCCCACCCTGCCCGGAGAGACAAAGGTGTTGTCTTCTGAGCCTTGATTCCATGTTTCCATTCTTTCTCTCTCCCTGATGCTGGCCTCTCCCTCCCTCACCCCCCCAGTCGGCTCCGTGGGCCTTTTCCGGTTGGGTCTCTGGATCACGGCCCCCATCGCCTTTCTCAAGTCAGTCATCAGCGTGATCCACCTCATCACAGCTGCCCGCAACATGGCTGCCCTGGATGCAGCAGATCGTGCCAAGAAGAAGTGACCCCCCCTACCCCCACCCCGAACCTCCAGTTCCTACCTGCCCACCTGCCTGGGCATCTCGCTGGGCCACATGGCTCCCCCCTCCCCTTTCTAGGAGGTCCCAGTGTCACGTCTTCCTAATGTGTTCTTCAGCCTGCTGGGATGGGGGTCAGCCTCTCTTTGGTGGGGTCACGTTCTCTGTAACCCTGAGTGCTGGGCTCACGCCCTACAACCCCAGAGACCTAAGCTACAGATCAAGGAAGGCAGCTCAGCAGGTCTCCCATGAACAACTGGAGCTCCGAGAGGCCTGTCTGCCATCCGATCGCCCTGCCAGCTCAGCCTTGGGGTCTGGCCTGGCCCAGGATTTTAGGGATACTTGCATGAAGAAAGATGGTGTAGAGCCAACTTGGCCACAGAGAAAAAGCCTGGGTTCTATGTCCAGGAAAAGGGTCAGGGCCATCTAAATCCATTCCTGCAGCAATCTTCTGTCCAGCTCCGGAAGCCCCCATAATAAAGGTGGGAGCTTTTATTCTTCTGAGTTGGTTTCCTTTGGGGCATTCTTGGGTTGAGAGGGACTTGGGAAACAACTGACAAATCTACCCAGATGCTTTTCTCCCAGTCTGCTGTTGGGCTCCTGCTTGTTCTTCCATAGTGGCCTCAAAGAGAAGGCCCTTCCTGCCTCCCAAGCTCATGTCACATCCTCTCTTCCCACCTGCTTTATGTCCCTGGCTGGCTACTACCCCAAGGAGAATGTAAACTTCATGCTCCTTTCTCCATGGTTAGAATGAAAGACCAACCTGGCATATAGTAGCTGCTCAATAAATCTTCCTGAACCGATCAGTTGGTTTCTCAGAGTGTGGTCCTTGTGATGTAGTTAGCCATGAGTAAGGGACTACTAAATGCAAAGGTAAATCTAACCTGGAGGATTAGAGCATAGGTATTCTTTTTTGTCAGCCATGGGGCTTGAACTCTGGGCCTAGGGACTGTCCCTCAGCTCTTTAGCTCAAAGCTAGCACCCTACCACTTGAACCACAGTGCCACTTCTGGCTTTTTCTGTTTATGTGGTGCTGAGGAATTGAACCCAGGGCCTTATGCATGCAAGGCAAGCGCTCTACCACTGAGCCAACCTCCCAGCCCACATCATAGGTATTCTGAGAAAAGAAAGCATTGTAATTAATTTACAGATTATCATACCATGTGGGAAATAAAGTAAAAAAAAGTCACAAGATTTTTTTGTTGTTATTGTTGGTTGTGGGGCTTGAACTCTGGGCCTGGGTGCTGTCCCTGAGCTCTTCAGCTCAAGGTGCGTGCTCTACCACTTGAGCCACAGCATTACTTCTGGTTTTCTGGTGGTTTATTGGAGGTGAGTCTCACAGATGGGCTGGGAAGGTGGCTTAGTGGTAGAGTGCTTGCCTAGCATGCATGAAGCCCTGGGTTTGATTCCTCAGTACCACATAAACAGAAAAAAGCCAGAAGTGGTGCTGTGGCTCAAGTATTGAACAAAAGAAGCTCAGGTATAGTGCCCAGGCCTTGAGTTCAAGCCACAGGACTGGCAAAAAAATAAAGAAGTCTCACAGATGTTCCTGCCTGGGCTGGCTTTGAACCGTGATCCTCAGATCTCAGCCTTCTGTGTAGCTAGGATGACAGGTATAAGCCACTGGTGCCAGGCTTCACAAGATTTTTTTTTTATTTTTAAGAATTCTACTCCCACATAAGAATCAGTGATTTATGTCATTCCAGCCCAAGGCAGATCAACTAATACTTCCTAGAAGGATCTTTAGCTCAGCCTATACTGGTCAGTAAAACCTTGCTCTACAGGTCAAGTGTAATTCAGTAAACCCCTACTTTCAGGATCATGATGGTGCCCCGTAGGCCAGTGGGGAGGGGCATGAGGCTTCTGAGCTGTTCTCTTCTGCAGTCATTTTGGCAGCCATCTTGGAATCCAGCGAAGACTGGCCCGGCTGCCAAGCATAGACAATTCTTTAACAAGGTCCCACTTGAGCTTTCCTGAGACAATGAGTATGAGATCGCCTGCCTGTTACTTGTTCTGTTCTGTGCTTCCCTGCCCTAAATTCTCCCTATTTAATGGAAGGTCAGTCTTTGTACCTTGGAAGACAGGCTGAAGTTCTGTCTTTCCCTGTGATACAGGTGCGCCACAAGGTCTTTTTATCTTCCATATTTCTGGTCTAATAAACTATCATCATTTACACTGTATTGGAGTCTTGCCTGGATTCTTCTCATGCCAGACACATGAGGTTGCTGAGCCGGAGTATTTATAAAAATGCAGGGCGGGGTGGGAAGGGGGGGGAGAGAGATGCTAGATTGTGCGCCAATACTGTCCATCCTGAGACTTGAACACAGGGCCTAGGCACTGTCCCTGAGTTTCTTTTGCTCCAGGATAGTGCTCAACCACTTCAACTACAGATCCACTTGCAGCTGTTTGGGTGTTAATTGGAGATAAGAGTCTCATGGACTTTCCTACCTGGGCTGGCTTGGCACCAATGATTCTCAGATCTCAGCCTCTTGAGTAGCTAGGATTAGAGGCGTGAGTCACTGATGACTGGTTTACTTGCCTAGTTTTAACTTCTAAGTCTGGCTTTTTGTATGTTTGTTGAAAATAGTTCTTTCTCTGTCTCCTTATCTATCCTGTCTCAATCCCACACCTATTTTCAGAAGCCCTTGGAGGATGGACGTTGAATCTTTTTTTTTTTTTGCCGGTCATGGGGTCTGGGCGCTGTCCCTCAGTTCTTCAGCTCAAAGCTAGTGCTCTACCACTGGAGCCACAGCGCCACTTCTGGCTTTTTCTGTTTATGTGGTGCTGAGGAATCGAACCCAGGGCCTCATGCTTGCAAGGCATGCACTCTACCGCTGAGCTACCTTCCCAGCCCTGGGCGTTGAATCTTTATGTGGAGATTTGTGTTTGAGGAAGATATGGATGCCACACAAAGATGAGTTGTGTTGTAGAGGTGCTGGGGTCTCCCTGCCAGCTTCCAGAGGAGGTGGCAGGCTGTGTGATGCTGCCCAGCCAGCTGGGTCCGCCAGCACTTGGCATAGCCCCCGGGGCAGGAAGTCCTCTGTGCTCCTGGCTTCCATAGACCAGACTGGCGCCTGGGCTCTTTAGCTCTATTTATAGTGACATCTGTAGTCTCTTTATGAGTCCTGTGATATATATGTGATTTTCAAAAGAAGAGCCGGGTGCCTGTGGCTCACACCAGTCATCCTAGCTATTCAGGAGGCTGAGATCTGAGGATCGAGGTTCAAAGCCAGCCCAGGCAGGAACATCTGTGAGACTCTTCTCTCCATTGGACTTCCAGAACACAGGAAGTGGTGCTGTGGCTAAGGTGGTAGAGTGCTAGCCTTGAGTTGATCAGCTCAGGGACAGTGCCCAAGCCCAGAGATCAAGCCCCACGACCGACCAAAGAAGAAAAACAGAAAAGAAATTGCATCTGTACTGAATGAGGACGATCTCTTTCTTGTCATTATTCTCTAAATGTGGTGTAACTAATGCCTGAGGCTTGACTCACCTAAGAATGTCCCTGCTAGCATTCCAGAGGCCCTGAGTGCAAACTCAGCTGCCATCAAAAAATAAATAGTAGCCGGGCGCTGGTGGCTCACACCTGTAATCCTAGCTACTCAGGAGGCTGAGATCTGAGGATCGTGGTTCAAAGCCAGCC